TTAAATAGCCTAATCCCGCAGGAGCAGCACTTTTCAGCATCAGCATGCATATTCCGTCGGGTCTCATGGCTCTGGAGGCTTTCGCCTTCCCGATGGCTACCTGAATTTCAAAGCTAGTGAAAGCAAGAAGCACTCTACGTTTGGCTTTGTCCGCCGGAGGATGTAGGGGCTAAAAAAGCTCGCGCGTCGCACCGGATCCGAAAGGGCGCAGTCGCCTAAAGAGATTTCGACTCTGTCGTCGCGCTTCGTCCGATTGGAAGGTGCCGCCCTGTGGTAGTAGTGGGCGGCGTCGCGGTTGGGACTTGCGACCGCGTTTCGACGCAGCCACAGCCTAATCGCTGTCTTACGAAAAACCAACTTGCCGCACGCACCAGCCTCGGTAAAGATTTGCCAAAATTCAATGGTAAGCCAGAAGAATGGCCCTTGTTTATGGCCACCTACCAACAAACAACGGAAATTTGAGGGTTTTCTGACGCCGAAAACTTATTACGCCTGCGTCAATCTCTGGAGGGAGCAGGAGTGCATTCCGTGAGAAATCTATTGCTACATTCTTCGTGTGAACCACAGATACTGGAAACTCTAAAAATGAAGTTCGGTCGCCCAGAACTTATCATCGCCGTGCTACTGACTAGGATCCGTGAAATACCAGCATTGAAGGAAAACCGACTCGAGGACCTGGTTGATCTAGCGTTGGGGGTGCAAAACGTGTGCGCGACCATGAAGGCTTCGAACATGTTGTGTCACTTGAACAACCCAGAGTTAGAGCAAGAATTAGTTAATAAACTACCGGGACTGCTAGCAGCGTTTTGGGGTATGCCCCAAATAAAACTGTCTTCATGCAACCTCGAAAGCTTTGCGGACTGGCTGTTTCAACTAGCCCAAGGGGCGCACAGCGTGCTCAAACCTTGTACACCCGCGAAGTCTACTGCCAAACGCGGCTACTTGAATGCGCATGAAGTTAACGTCAGTGGGGGAGAAATGGACCGTGCATTGTAACACATTCACGAGTGCAGATAGGTCCGAACGGTGGGGACTTATACGCCAGCATTCCATATGTCGTCGCTGTCTAAAGGTGCACCCCCGCCTTCTGTGCGCTTCTACTGCCGTATGCGGAACGGATGGTTGCATTTCGATTCACCATCCTTTGCTTCATAACAAGCAGGCCTTCCCGGTCAGCTCACCACTCGCTAACCATGTGCTTAATGCACACGATGGTGCAACTGACTCAATTCTATTTCGAATTTTGCCTGTAACGCTCTACAATAAGAACAAAATGCTTCAGACGTATGCCTTCTTTGATGATGGCTCTGCGCTCACGCTTATGGACGTTGAGCTGCAGGAGAAACTACAAGAGAACGGCGCCTCGCAACCTTAATACCTCAGATGGACTTCTAATACTCACCGCTATGAGGATAACTCCCAAGTACTGGATTTAAATATTTCTGGAGCCGATACTAAAAAACGTTATGTGCTAAAAGACGTACACAGTGCGGAAGCTTGAATTACCAACCCAGACGCTCGATGCACGCGACTTGTAAACCAAATACTCATACTTGAAGGGTGTGCCCGAGTTGCTAATTGGCCTCAACAATGGCCGTCTAGGCTTAAGTCTCCGAATATGCAATCGAGCAATTGAAGTCAACTACGAAACGCATCTACGGTCGCTTTGAAACCGGCCTTATTTAGAAATACGCCAACGCCACTCTCGCGGATAGCATACCATCTGCTTTGCGGAGAGCTAAATATTTGCAGGCAAAACTCGCGCATGAACCGCATAAGCCGCAAAAGGTTCGAATCGTCTGGGATGTGGCCGCTAGAACGAAAGGAGAGTCCCTCAACTCGATGCTTTTGATAGGACCTGATCAGCTTACGTGCCTGGTATCTGTCCTGCGAGGGTTCCGCCAGAAAGCAGTAGCTGTGAGTGGGGACATCCAGGAAATGTTTCAACAAGTCAGGATACTGTTGCAGGATCAGAACTACCAGCGTTTTCTGTAATTAAGGAGCTCACGTTCGGGGCTACCTGTTTACCTAGTAGCGCTCAGTACGTGAAGAACTTAAACGCGGAAGAATTTCGCAGCAGCCATCCGAGGGAAACAACTTACGAAGAGCTTAGATCTCGATATGTAGGTTACCATGGCGCTGCCCTACCACATCACGAGTACTTGGCAATACACGAACGTTTCTCTCGATGGTCCCGCCTTCTGCGTGTAACGACAACAGTATTTCTAAGTATTCGTATCTGGAGGCTCTACCGCAAATCAAGTCCTTCGCTTCTTCGACTAATTGATCAAGATGACCTTAAGCGCGCCGAAATACATTTGGAGATAGAGGCTCAGTCGGACGTATTTGGGGATGAAATCGCCGTACTTTCCGAAATCCGTACTTGGTTGAGGTCTCCGTCCTACGACTCAGTGGCAGGGTCAGCCTGGTAGTGCATCCGGACCCAATTATATTGCCTAGAAACCATAACATAACTCGCCTGATTGTTCTGGACTACCAGATCAAGTATCTCCACGGAAGCGCAGAGACGGTAGTAAATGAATTACGGCAAACTAGTACGAGCAGTGGTCAAAAAGGTGCGTCGTGACTGTCAAGTACATCAACTTCGCAATGCAAAACCACGACCACCGAAAATGAGCTGTCTACCCCCGGCACGAGTAACAGCATTCGTTCGTCCGTTCACATACGTGGGGGTAGATTACTTCGGTCCTCTACTCCTCTACTAGTAGCGGTACGCAGGAGTACTGAGAAGAGGTATGGAGTGCACTTAGAATTAGCTTATTCGTTGTCTACGGATTCGTGCATTCTCACCGTTCGAAGTTTTATGGCTCGACGAGGAGTACCATGCAAGTTCTGGAGCGACAACCCCACTAATTTTAAAGCAACACAGCGAAAACTCATCACGGCCTTCAGAGAAATACCAAGTAAAAGCTTCAGAGCACCTTTACGAATTCCTCTATGCAGTGGAAATTCATACCACCGGCGTCACCACATATGGGCGGTGCCTGGGAGCGCCTCGTGCGCTCAGTGAAGGACAACCTGTCGAGGGTATTGCTAGCATCACGTCCCTCTGACGAATTGCTCCGCGGCGCTTTAAAACTCACGACCGTTGACTTACATACCGCTCGACCACTGCGGAGACGAAGCGCTCACACCACACCATTTTCTCCCGGGTAGTTCTAACGGGATGAAACCGCTACTCGAGCATACTGGAAGGCCAGAACCAATGAGAATGGGCTGGAGATATGCACAACAATTGGCCGACTTATTCTGGAAGCGTTGGGTGCGCGAATATCTACCGGTGATAACGCGCCGCACTAAGTGGTTCGAGGCCGTAAAACCGATTGAGCAAGGAGACTATATACACCATATAGTGAATCCCAATGGACCCAGAAACTCTTGGCCGAAGGGTCGAGTGATTTCAGTCAGGGTAGGCCCTGATCAACATGTAAGAAGCGCCGTGGTAAAGACTAGCGCCGACATATATCAGAGACCAGCAACGCGACTTGCCGTTCTTTCTATTCTTGCTCCGCAGGTTCGGGTAAATCCGGAGGATTTACCGGGGAGGAGTGTTGACAAAAATACGGCAACACTGCAGTTGCTTGATTGAAATTTGTTTGGGGACGTTTCCCGTTTTTGACATTTGGTTTGACTTTCACCGCCAAATGAGACTAGACTTTTTCAACTTGTTTCAAATTATATAAATCGAATTCTTTAAAGTAAATCAGAATAGATCCTTCTAAATACTAAAGTAAGTACATATTGAACATATGTAATTGAAGGAATAAAATGAATCCGCAGATATTTCAAACGTTACACAACAATAAATGCGTTTTGAGACTTTGGGCGTGGGATCTAACCTCTGAATTTTAACACTGGTAATATTTTTTGGTACTAAAATTTCCGGTTACAAAATCTTCGGTAACGTGCAGAATAGACCTGTAAATAGAAATTTCGTCATGTTTGATAAACTACTTGCGTGGTGTATTTGGCTCCTTAGTTGTATTGAAAATGGTACGGCAACACTAACGAAATCAACTCTGCACTCTAGATCTAGCTAGAGATGTCAGTGCCAAAAATACATCGACTTTTTCTTTGATTCGATGCATCGAAATGTACATCGATATTTTTTGACGCATCAAAGGCCATACATCGATGCATCGATTTGCATAAGATTTTGTTTCACAACGATGTTATTAGCAAAATCGTACAAAGTTAGATATAAATTACTGCAACTGGGTAGTAATGTTTCTAACGGAAATTTTTATAGCCATTTGGCTTGGTTTGGTCAAAGTTACCTCTCTTGTACAATTGTACAATGCATTCTAGACGGTTCAATGTACTACCCTGCAAAAATCGCGACTACTCCATGCATGCGTGTAAAGAGTACTCCCTGCGGACCAAAGAGTACTCCAAAATTAACCACAATTCATATAAAAAATATGGTTCAATTAACATTGCGATGTCCTAGGGCAGGACCATATACTCCATCCCTGCATTACATCAGAGTAGCACAAAACTACTCCAACATATTAACAATGGCATTGTTGTTATATTTTTTTGTTTGTACACGCTTTTGTTCTTCACTTCTCAAATGCTTTTTCGAAATTAATAAAAACCAAGACAAAAATTAAAAATTACATGTTGCCTCTGACGGTATTCGAACCCGAACATGCTGGGAGCTAAGAACTAACAGCGAGCATCTCTACACGTTCAGCTACAGCCAGACATGCAAATGTGCTTTCAAATGCTCAACTTCAATCACGTTTCGTTAAAACACGAGCAGTGATCGGATAACAAACAATAAGCTGGCGCAGAGACACGAGTTGGTCCGCTACAGCATGACAGAGGAACACTTTTGTAAGTACTCCAATTTACCACAAATAGACTACATGGTCCAACGATTTTTGCAGGGTACATACGTCAGTTCTGAAAAAACATCGATGCATCGATACATCGACTATTTATACATCGAGTGGAAAAATTTCGATGCATCGGAGCGACATCGATATTTTCGATGCATTGATGTTTTTTCGACATTCCTAGTTCCAGCCAGTCAGCTAATCTTTTCAGGAAAATAGGCGATTAATTGATATCATTTTCCATAAATATATTTATTGTTGCAAAGATAAAAGTGGTTAGTAAATAAGCAAATTATTTGAAATCAATTGTTGCGGATAATAAATCATCAACAACTCTCCTTTATGCAGAATATATATACATATATATAAGACAATAAAAGTCCATATACGAGGGTGATAATTCTGCAGCAGGAAAAATCACTGTTGCCTGCATTTCTCCGCCCATCTTCTTGTTTACGCATTTAATCGCCCTTCTTTTGTTGCAGCAAATTTAGTAGTAATCGGAAGTTTCGAGCAACGCAATACTACAAAACTGATGTTGGTAATTAATTGCGTGGATTTACATTCTGCCTGAACCTGTGGATATTATTGCGAGAAAATTTCTGTGCACTGTAGCAAACGCCAAGAAAAGCCATTGTTGAAAGAATCGGATCAAACATGAAATCATCGATGACGGGAATGCTGTTGTGCTGCCTTCTGGCAGGACTTTGGTCATCTGCTTATTGTCAAGGTATAATATACATATATACGTTGGATAATTAAAAAGAAATAACTCGACGTTTCAAACGATTGGAAATTAAATATAGAACTAAGGCAGTGGCCCACGTATCTTTCTACATATATGCATACATATCGCACACCGTCTTCAAAAGAGTCACAACTCCAAATTTGGCATTTTTGAAATTATGCGCTAAAAATGTACACACAGCTTTTATTTAGGGTACTGTTTAGTAAGTGGCCCACCTATTTCGGGGTATTGCGTCCAAAGGGGTGACCCGATCCAAAAATTGCACACACTTGTAGCCAAGGGTCTACCCATTATTTTAACATCCACTATTGTAATTTTGGGTCACTAATTTATTTACAAATTGGGTTTGAAATATGCCCTTTTTTGTAAAATTCGGAAATTAGCGTAAATTTATCACTCCTATTCTCCTTAAAGCAGCTACATCAGCAATATATTTTTATATTCTCCTTCACTTTACACTTTACTCGATGAGCCATAACTTTCTTTATAACTTTAATATTAACCAATTAATCACAATTTATTAAATAGAAACACCTTCTAAATCATGCGTCTGACTTTTGTTGCATATGCAAATTAAATGGCGTAGTTCAGCTGTCAAACTCCAAAATATGCAAAAGAATGAGAGACAAAAGAAAATAGGATATAACCCTGTAAGCATTAAAAATATACAAAGGTGTTCGCTGTAAAAGGTATTCAGCTCCTTTTCTTCGCAAAACAGAAAGGAGAATTCTACTGCCTGAGGGTTATAATCCCTAAGTGCG